GAGGTCTTTCTTATCGTCTACAGCAGTTCGTAAGTTTCGAGCCAGAAGGTGAGCTTTTGGTCGATAGTGCCTCGTAAGTAGTTTTCTGGCGACAAAGACGCCAAAGCTCATCCAATTTGCTCAGAGTTTATATTTTTTGTTGTCGTTGCGTACTCCGCGAGATGAGGTGCTGCCCCACACCCTCCGTACTACTGAGGAGAAACCGGCGGAGAAGAGATGGCTGTGTTCAAGCTCAAGGAGGAAAATTCTCAATGGGTCAATACTTACCAAGCCGTCACTTGGATTGACATTCGGTCTATGTGAAGATCAAACCGACATTCTGTCCAAGAAGTGCAGCAAACGTGGGCAGTAGCCACAACTATTTGTTAAAATCGAATGGAGTGGAAACTGTAAGCAAACGCAAATTCCAGTATCCTTCATGCAACTCGATTCAGACTATGGAGGCAATCCGAGGACATATGAAATGGCGCTATCTGATAATCAGACTAATTTCCATATTGACAATAAAATTATCGTAAGCTACATAGAGAAGATTCTATCTATCAATCAACCCAATGGGTAACAAATATAAAATGCGAAATCTTGGGCCTATATGAGACAAGAAGAAAATGAACAATAAACGCCAAAACCTTAAGCAGAGAAAGGGAAGGATCATTCATAATGCTTGGAACAACCGGAGGTTCACGAAGCGTCCGTGGCATTAAAATTTTCTTATTCAAAGAATGGACACCGTTCATTGTAAGGTGCGAACTCGTATCGATTCAAATGGATTTCGTTTATTAAATACTCAGAAAATTTGTTGAGTGAATGTAATTCATGCCTATGAGCAATAGCAGTGGTTAGAAGACGAGGAGAAGTTAATACTTTTTAAGAACAGCTTGAGAATGTAATAACTGAGGTCAAAGAGTGCAGTGTTCATCACCGGAAACTTCAAAGCAATCATTAAGGCTGATAAAGAAGACGTATGATCTATAGGTCCACAAAATGAAATGGGTGAACGATGGGCTAACCATGTCGAATGCAAAGGTTTTGCGTAATGTGCTGTTACTTTAAGAGAATATCAGGCCGACGATGGACATAGCAGACCACTAATGCGAAGTGTGGGCTGTCACAGAAAATGCTGCATTCAAGAGGTAGCTTGGAAGCAAAGAGTCTTCATTTCGAATACAGTACCGAAAGGTGGGCATTGCGGAAGCAAAAGCAGTGGCTAAAGCGTAAACTGATTCCTGGGAAAATTTCGAGAAGGCAAACCATTCGAGCTATTCTGGTAGACTCCTTGAGACCGCTGAGATAGAAAGAAGGGCAGTTTAAGAGTTCGGAAGGGCAAGCCGTCCTTACCAATCCAGAGGACATGATTCAGCGAAAGAGAGAGAACTTTGAGCAACTCCTTACCCCTGCGCAACTGTAGAATGACTTGTAGAAGAGCAGCAGACAATGGATATTAGTTTTTCATTAGATGAAGTCAGAGAAGCTGCAAAATGCTTGAAAGTGGAAAATCTGCAGGAATCCATGAAATCCGTCTTGAATGCTCAATGCTTTAGGCGAAAACAACGTGCCATGCTTAAGCCGGATTTATGAAACAGCAATGGCTACGAGAAAGACAGAATGGATAGACGAGGGGGTTATAATACGACTGTTCAAAAAGGAAGACCATAAGTAGTGCTTCAATTACTCAACTATTGACATTACCCAATTGATCCTCCCGGATAAAATTTGCGCAAAGGTGTCAGAAGGTAAGTGTACCGGAATAACTATCTCTATAACAAAAAAGAGCAGATTGGCTTCAGGATAAGCTGAAGCACATATGACCAAATCTTTGCCTTACGCTAGATTTTTGAAGAAATTGTGGGAGTACGGTGATCCGGTTTGCATCTGCTTTGTGGAACTGGAAGAAGTGTATGATGAGATTCCGCGGAACAGCGATGAGCGTGTCTGCATACATATGGGGTCCATGGCCAGTTGCTATAAGCAATCTAGTCATTTAGCAGTCTAGTCATTACATGTTCATAGCAGGTTGTCTATCAAGGTAAATGCCTCAGATCCACTCGTTCCAGCGTTGGCACTGACCTCAGCCATGATTGCGTCCTGTCCCTTCCCTCGTTTATCTTATACATGGTTGGGTAGGACAGTCAATCGCAGCCAGGGCGATGAGTGCGTTAGCATAAGAGATGTGCAGACAATAGGGTTGCTGGATTTAGCCGATCCAGGCTTGTTGACATCTTCTGAAACTGATCTTCAGCACTTTGTGGTAAAGTTCGCACCAGAGTGCTAAGTGACCCAGCATGCCCGCGAACGTGTCTCAAACGGGAAACCCAGTCATTTCTCGTTCTCCTGCACCTCACGCTCTGTACATAAACGGAGAAGAAGTAGAACAGCTGGAGAAGTTCGCGTGCCTCAGATTCGTGTTCGCTTGCGAAGGAAAATATGAGGAACAGAACAACTGGCGAAATGGAATGACTAACAACGTTGTATGTAAACTAGCCGCAACCGTGTGTGAGTAAAGCAGAGCTGAGTCTGAAGGCTGAGTTCTCTGTGTTCAAGTCGATATTCATCCCGATGCTCACGCACGGTCATGAGTCACAGGTCATTAGTGAAAACTTCGATCCTGAATGCAAGCGCTGAGGATTTCAGAGACAAATCTTTGAACTCGTGAGTCTCGACATGGTCCAAAGTACAGATATCCGAAAGAGTCTTTTAGTACAGATGCTGCAACCCCAAATTGATTAGTCGCAGCTGCGATGGCTTGAGCGATTCTTTGGAATGCAGGAGGAAACAGCTACTACTTCTCAAATCGAAACGCGGAAGATCCCCGGGCGGAAAGTGTTTCAAAAATCTTTCAGAGTCTGGTTACCTTCTACCAAAGCTCTAACACTGGCAAAGAATCAGATACGATAAAGCATTGTGTGACGCGTCTGTTTCCGCAACCCGAAAGGACAAGCAGTCATCAAACTAACTGAATATCTGATGCGTATTAACCCGTGTTTATATGAAACTATACGAAAGTTCTGATAAATCTTGTTCTGTCACCCATTGAACGAACAGTGGACAATCAGACTAACTGGATTTCGTTAACATTTTCAATCCGAACCATTTTCAGGTAGTGAACTAGCTGCTCTAAAACAGCTGTAATGAGTAAAGAGTGTCCATGTAGAGCATGAAAAGGCATTCGGCATAGTGGAGCATGAAGCAATATTCCGATAAATAGAAAGCAAGGACTAGGAGAATATAACATTTGGGCACAAGGTGCAGTACGAAGTTTCAAAAGTTTGAACATCCAGTTGACATCAAGGTTTCTAAGGGGGTTAATGCAATATCGCTAAACCTGCTTACCCCATATCTTGAGTCGGTACTTTGCAAAATGAAATGAGGATGGAAGATTTTTAATTAACGGTAGACGCCTTACTGATCTTGAACAACTTAAGGAGCAGGTAGGCTAGCCTCCAGATGAACAGGGCGAAGACGAAATTGGTGAGAAACGAATTCGTCCAAACAGCTACAGTTATCCTCAACGACGGCCAAATAAGACAAGTGACCGACCGTGTCCACTAAGGTCAGATCATCGTGTCAGACCACTCCTTAAATCCGGAGCTCCGTCGTGAGGGATAGAATATATGCAAAAGAAACTCTGACGTTCTTGATTAAAGAACGTTATCAATTGCGGTTCGAATCGCATACCAAAGCGATATACAGTAACTGCTTTACGTGGTTGCGACACCTGAACATAAACGATAACAGGTGAAGAACTCTTAAGAGTTGGGTAGCTGGCTATGAAAATGAGGATGCTAGGAATCTATACGATGAACCAGCTCCGGAAAGAGGAAACAATTCGATGAACAGGAATGCAGGCCGTAGTAACAGTTTCACAAAACAAGAAACGAGCATAGGCAGGTCGCATCGCATGACTAACGAATGATGGATGGATCACCGCTGTTGCGCAATAACACCTAAGTGGATATAACCGCCCAACTGGAGGACCTCGCTTCAAACGAGAGGTGGTTGCGCAATTTGTTAGTGTGATGCTATGCACGATAGAGTGCGGGTTAGACGCAACACATGGCGTAAATGTTCTCTTATAAACTACTGATTTGCTAATTTTCTTGAGCAGGGAACTCTTCCAATGTGTTTCTGTGCAACCAGCCTATAAAAGGGGCAGCACTTTACTGACCTGCCAACATCACGGACAGCATGGACCTTTGATGTGGCCAGCCAAAGCCTGTAAAACATACGATCATGCTGTATCCGATGAGTATGCCTTTCGGCTGCTTGATTCCTGACTGAAAGCCACCACAAAGTGCAGTCTTCAATTTAATTTAATTTAAATGGG